ATATTAATTCAATTTAGTTTGAAATGCTTAGTTGATTATGTTCCTCGTGCGGGATTAATTAACATTGTTATCTGTTTATGTATACTTTGTTAACTTTCTAATTAAATTGGATATTATGAATAAATCTTTAGCAAGGCTATTATTACCTTGCCCTCTAAGATGGATGAGGAGTTAATATTTTATTTTCCCCTAGAGGAATCTTATATTTTGCACCTCTTTCTATTCTTTTTTCCACGAGGATTTACTACGCCCCTGTTTGCAACATTTTATGTCTGCTGAATGGAGGGAGGAGAGATGAGGGAAGTGATGGAGAATTTGAGTAGATGGATTGGTTATGCAGAAGGGGAGGGGGGAGGAGGGCTAATAGAGGAGTGACCTTTGATGGTGGAAAATAGGGAGAGGAAATTTGATGAGCCATTTTTCTTTTTCTTTCCTCTTCTTATTGTGGGAGCGATGGTGATTTCTTTATTTTGCCTTCTAATTTTTTCTTCTTTGACTGTGCACGTGTTTTCTTTGCTCTAATCAAATGTTATTTATTTATTCATCCTAATAAAAGATACTTTAAAAGAATAAAGTTATAAACCTTTTATTTTTATAATTAAAAATTTAAGACCTTGACATGAATTTGTTCGAACTTTGCCTCGAGGGGTTTGGTTGGGGGTCTCGAGGCAAAGCCCCCACTCAATTTTCAAAAAGTGTATGCATGGGCCAAAGCGCAAGGTGCATCAAGTGCATTAGGTGCCCGCCTTTTGAAAGTGCTATACACCTAATACCAAGGCGAGGCACATACCCTAAAATGCACATCATCTGTGTGCCTAGGTACACATTAATGACTATCAATGGGTCAGGTGTGGTCCAAGACAGGTTGAACCTAGTCCAAACCAATAAAGACATATAGACCCAATAAAACCAAATCCTATTGGCTCTTTTAAACCAGACTCAAGTGAATTGAATATTAATTGAGCCAATTGGATTTGGCTTATTAGGCTGATTATTTTTGACATCTAATATAACAATTTCAAACTTCATTTTTTGAATCTATATATTAAAACGAAGCGGTCAAGAAATTTTCTCCTTTTTTTGAATTTTTTATTTTTTTATTCCATGTCATTTTTTAAAGAACCAATGAAATGCTCTCCTTCCCCAACAATCTCTTCTCCTAAAATATCTTAAACTACCTCCCCCACTTTCTCCTAAATAATCTTCAATTCCTATTTATCTCCTAACTTATCTCTAATTTACTAGAGAATTTCTCTCCAAATTATCTCTAATTCCAATTTATCCTCTTTTTCACTTTTTATCTACATCTGTCTAAAGAAAGTTTAAATTAAAATTTTAAAAATTATTTAAATATTTTAACAAATTATATAATAACTTTAAAATATTTATTAAAACACAAAAAATAATTATAATAGATTTAATAATATTTATATTATTAATAGTTTTATATTTGTACAAAATTCATCACGAAATTATGTACTAACAATATAAATTATGATTTTCCAGATTATTCAAATAATAGAAATTTAACATTAAAAAATAAAATATTATTTCAATAACTAAATATCTTAAATAATAAAATATTAAAACTAGCTAAATAATTATATTAAAAATATTTCAATAAGTAAATATCTTAAATTCAAATAATGAGTATTTTTCAATATTTTATATATTATTTAAATACTTAAATAACTAACTATTTTAAATAACGAAATATTTAACACAATTATATTTTAAATAGTTAAAATAACGAAATTATGCACAAAAATAAAAAAAAAAAAACATAAGATAATATTCAAATAAATAATAATTTAATATTTTTTCAAAATTATGTAATAATAGTATAAACTTTAAAATAATTATTAAAAACACAAAAATAATTATAATATATTTAATAATATTCATATTATTAATAGTTTTATACTTTTACAAAATTCATCACGAAATTATGTACTAACAATATGTATTATGATTTTTCAGATTATTCAAATAAAATTTTATACAAATAATATAAATTTAACATTAAAAAAATAAAATATTATTTCAATATTTCAATAACAAAATATCTTAAATTCAGATTTTCCAGATGATTCAAATAATATAAATTTAACATTAAAAAAATAAAATATTATTTCAATATTTTACTAACTAAATATCTCAAATAATAAAATAATAAAAGTAGCTAAATAATTACATCGAAAAAGGTTTAATTATTTAAATATTTTAATAAATAAATATCTTAAATTCAAATAATGAATGATTTAAAAATTTATATAATATTTAAATATTTAAATAACGAAATATTTAACATAACTATTTTTTAAATAGTTAAAATAACGAAATTATGCAATAAAATAAAAAATAAATCATAACAAAATATTCAAATTAATAATAATTTAATATTTTTATAAAATTAATAATGAAATTATGTAACAATAGTATAAACTTTAAAATAGTTATTAGAACACAAAAAATAATTAAAATAGATTTAATAATATTCATATTATTAATGATTTTATATTTTTACAAAATTCATCACGAGATTATGTACTAACAATATAAATTATGATTTTCAGATTATCCAAATTAAATGTATTCGAATAACAGAAATTTAACATTAAAAAATAAAATATTATTTAAATATTTCAATAACTTAATATCTTAAACTCAATAATGAGTATTTTTAAATATTTTATATACTATTTAAATATTAATAACTAAATATTTTAAATAACAAAATATTTAACATACCTATATTTTAAATAGTTAAAGTAACAAAATTATGCACTAAAATAAAAATTTTAAAATAAAAAAAAATCATAACATGATATTAAAATTAATAATAATTCAAAATTTTACAAAATTAATAATGAATTTATGTAATAATAGAATAAATTATAATTTTATAGATTATTTAATTCAATTAATAATTATAATTATAAAATTTAAATTAGGATATATTAAAATATCTAAATAATATTTTCAATAACCAATTTCACTTATATCAATTAATAATTCTAGAAAAATAATTTTCAAAAAGATAATATTCATTAATAATGATTTTAAAATCTTAATCTATATTTATTATATATTTAATATACGAAAACTAATATTTATTGTATTTTTAGAGATTATTTATAGTTTTTTGATAAATATATTTTCAATAATTATGTATAAATCTATATTTGTTTTGTAATTTAACAAAAAAAAATTAATAATTATTGGATATTAAACTACTGTTATTTAACTTTTTAAATTAAATTTATTATACTAATTGTATTTACTGTATTTTTGTTGTACTTTATTCATTGATATTTATTAGAGATTAAACTATTATTTGAGATTACAATATTTATTGACTGACTTAATATATTTTTTTAGTATTTTTAGTATTTTTGTGATTATTGTAATTATTTTATTTTTATTATCAATATATTTTCAATTATTGTGCATTTTTGTTACAAATTTGTAATTATTATTGGATATTAAACTACTTTTATTTATTAGATGTTAAAATATTAATTTAGATGAAATTAAGAGTGTTGGTCACGACTTGGTTTAGTTTGGTTGTAGGCTATTTGGCCAACCAAATTGACATTGTCAGGTTGGGGAGTTGGTTACCCTAAATCTATTGACCATTAGTGAAAACCAACTAAATCGGGTTGTATTGGTTTGGGTTGATTTTCGATTTACTCAATTGGTTTAAAAGATTATATTGAAAACTCAATTTTAAATTTAAAAAAATTACATTTATTAAAAATTAAATTTATAATATAAAATATTTGAGACTAAGAAATATAGGAATTTCCCCACTTTCTTGTGTTAAAAAATTATATTTAAAATATAAAAATATTAATATATATCTATGATTGGGTCATTCAATTTTGGTCAATTTACAAATGGACACAACAAAACTGATCCCAATTTCAACTGAAAATATTAGAAACTGAGCAATTCAGGTTGAGTTGGTTGGGCTGATTGGTTTCAGAAGTTCGATGAATAAGCTTAACTGAAATAGATTAATGTTATTTTTGTATTATAAAAAGTTATTAAAAGTATTATAAAATATAAATAATTAGTCATTTTTTTAAAAGTTAAAAATATAAAACAATTATATACTCTTATGTGTTTTCTTGTTTAGCTTTCTTTAATAAATCTCATGCATCACACGGGTCCCCGCTAGTATAAACAAGTGTTTTAATAACTTATATACTGTCTATATAATTTAACTTTTTAGACAAAGTATAACAAAGTTACAAAACTTACAAAAACAAAAACCCATTGGACCTTTATATATTATTATATATTAAATACATAATCATTTCAAAACAGCAAAAACCGGTCCCAATCCATTTATAATCAGGACACAAAACTCAGAACCAGAATCCGTATAATTGGTTCGGTTCTTTTGTGTAGACTTGACCTATTGACTGCTCCATGCACTCAAAATGGATCAAACCGGATTGACCAAAGGCTATTTACCATGATATCGGATTCGGTCTTGTGCTCACGCCATTTGCACAGTCCCTTAGTCTTGCATTGGGAATATCTCCCCATAAAAAGCACCCAAGTACGAAAATATTTCCAAGGCATGGCTGTAAAAGGCTGTGAGAACGATGTGAACAGTCTTGTGAGAATTGAATCCAATCTCCTTTACTGTATGGTATTCAGATTGGTTTTAGCATGGTTTTCGAAACCAGACTGGACCAGACAGTCAGACTGGAAAAACCGGAACTGGTCCTCCATTTTATCCCAAAACCATCTTTTTGGCCAAAAACCATTGATTTAGTCAACAAACCACTGACCCATGTGGTTGAACCGTTCAAACCATCCAGCAGTTTTTAGCTTTTTTTTATTTCTTTTGTCAAAGTGGGCCATCCATTTGGTTCAAATGGTCAGACCATTCGACCCAAGAATTGGACCCCTGAACGATTCGTTGTCCGGTTCAGTTTTAAAAACCTTGGGTTTTAGAATCCTTGACACAATGAAGTACTGGGAGATAAATATCTCAAATTTTTTGTTCTCTAATTCATCTTTTTATGTTGGAATTTGGAAATACTCTAATTCATCGAAAAATTTGTACATTTGAAGTCCTGAAAATTTTTCCATAAGATCCTTCAAGATCTCATGCAACCAGAAGGCTTCTTACTAGAAAAAAGTGGGAAATTTCCACGGCTTCCTTCAAAAGATGTGCGCATAATTCAGTAGGGTCGGAACTTCCTAGCAGCTCTCAATTGCTGTATCCGTTTTCTATCTTGCTCAAATTTGCTTTGCAACATCATAATCTCTGCAAAGAATAGACTTGTTGATTCAGTCCAAATTTAAAAAGCCTAAGTAACAATGCTCAGCTAGAGGAAATATTAGGATGCAAGCAATTGGACTTACAGGATTTGAAATATACGATGTCAGTAAAAACTCATCAACACCAAAAGGAAAATGAGGTCATTGTTTGGGAACGTTTAACTCATAGAGCCATCAATTGGGTGAAGACTTTGGAACTATTTTTTCCATTCTCTTTTGATGATTTATGGAGAATTGCCATCAGCAGAATGGAAACCTCCTCAAGAGGGTGTCATTAAGCTCAACTTTGATGGTAGCAGTTTAGGCAATCCGGAACCTTTCGGTGTTGGGGGAATTTTAGAAATACAGAGGGGCTAATTATCACTTTATATTCTGACCCTATAGGAGTAGGGGATTCAGTTAATGCAGGAATTCAAGCATTGTTACAAGGAGCTGAATTTGCCAAAGAACTGAATTGTGAACAGCTTTTAATCGAAGGTGATTCCAAGCTAGTGATCCAGTGGTTAAAAGAACCAGAAAGAGCAGCCTGGTCCTATAAGGGGGATCTACGAAGATTCAAATGGCTAACTACAAACATGTCAGTCCAGTTCCAATGGGAAAGAAATCAGCAAATGGGTTAGCAGACTCACTAGCTAAACAAGGGATGCATAGGAATCAGATCTTTTAGGCTAAACTGTAATTCTATGTTTTAATCTGAGGCTGCATCTTGTCTCATTTTGGGAACTTTCACCATGTATCTTTTATGCTCCCAATATTTTAGTAAAATGATTCATTACTCACCAAAAGACAAAAAAAAAGGTAGAAAAAAGGTGATAAGAATTTTGAAATTACCCGAGAAGAGAAAACAAAAACAAAAACTCCGCCATCCTTCTTTCAATCGAATTCCCTAACAAACACCCTGATGTCAAAGACAAATTTGCATCGAAAAAGTATATCCCTCTATTACAGATAACATCAAGTACTGTATCCCCCTCCTCCCCAACTACACACCCAACTGGTGTTATAAAATTCCAAAAACGCTTCCCAAGATAGCCTACCCCCTGGCTGACCTCCCAACAGCAACTACCAACGATATAATCTGGATGATGCATATAACATATTTAATTATTCTCTCCTGCTCTTCTAACTCCCACCTCTCGGGATTTCATCACTTTATTTCATAGCCCATATGTCAAGACGGAGGATAAACCAGATTAAAAGTGAATTAGTTGGTATTAACCTGGAAGAGAGGGAACTCTCAAGCTTGGCTGAGGTGTTGGGTTGTGAGGTGAGGAGTTGGTCTGTAACCTACCTAGGATTACCTTTGGGGGGGAACCTGAGAGCTGATGGTTTTTGGAAGCTGGTATTAGAGGAGTTTGCAGAAAAACTAGCCTTTTGGAAAAGAAACTACATATCTTTTGGAGGAAGAATCACCCTGATTAGAGCCACCGTTGCAAATCCACCCACTTATTTCCTATCCACTTTCCATGTCCCTTCAAGAATTGCTAGAGTTAGAGAAATTTATGAGAGATTTCTTGTGGGAACTCTGGGAAGATGATCTGGTTAAATGGGATCAAGTCTGCAAGCCTAAGGATATAGGGTTTAGGACTAGGTAATATCTCTCCCAAAAATACTGCTCTCCTGGGTAAATGGTTATGGAGGTTCCCCTTCGTAAGAGACAGGTTATGCTACAAAGTTATAGCAAGCATACATGGTCAGGAGGGTAATGGTTGGGATGCTAAACTCAACCCTCATTATACTTCATCTTCCCCTTGGAAAGCAATCCATTAAAAGATTGCTTTCCAAGGGGTGATATAATTCGGTTCTGGGAAGACCTTTGGGTTGGGGAAGCTCCATTAAAAGATCAGCTCCCTAACCTTTTTGCTCTCTCTAACCTCAAGGAAGTTCCTGTGTCCTTATGCACTTCCTCTCCCTCGGGCCTCAACTGGGACTTGGGCTTTAGAAGAGGTTTAAGGGAGAGTGAGTGTGCATCTTTGATTAACCTTCTTAATATCCTGGAGAACACTTTTTTTGGGCCCACTTTTGGATGATTCTAGAATCTGGGTTCCCTCACCGGATGGACTTTTCACTTGCGTCTCTTTTTTCAAATCCTTAACTTTACCTGCTTCACAAGGGGTGGACTTCCCAATGAAAAAAGTGTGGTCTAAGCCTATCCCACCTAAGGTTCAAGCTTTTTGCTGGGAATCTTTCCTTGGAAAGGTGAACACTTGGGATGTGTTGCAGAAAAGAAGGCCTTTCTGTTGCCTCTCTCCTCATATGTGTTTGTTGTGTAGGAAAAATGGACAGCCCTACCCCACTTATTTATTTCCTATCTCTTTATCTTTCTTGTCTGGGAGCTTTTGTGATCTTGTTGGCTGCAGGTTGATCCCTCCCCAAGATGTGGACATTTTCAGGCCTAATTTCTTAAGGCAATCAAAGAAAATAGGAAGACTGATGTGGAGAGTCACTAAGGCTGCAACTGTGTGGGTGGTTTGGAAGGAAAGGAACAATAGAATTTTCACTAGCAAAAGTATATCTGCGGAGGAGGTTATTGAGGCAATAAAAGTGAAGGTTGCTTTCTGGATTAAAAATATGGAATACTTTCAGGATTTCACAGTGACTGATATTCTAAGAGCTCGGAAGGAGATAACACATTCCTATAGAAACAAAGACAGCAAAATAATGGAGTGGAAACCCCCACAAGGTAGTAAAGTTAAACTGAATCATAATGGAAGCTCGATGGGCAATCCTTGGATGACAGGAACTGGTGGGAATTAGAAATTAGGAGGGCAGATTGCTGGCCCTTTATTCCGGGCCAATTGGTGTAGACAACTCCATTAATGATGAATTATTGGCTTTACTACAAGGTCTCAGGATAGCTAAGCAGTTGGGCCTCAGACAAGTGAAGGTGGAAGGGGACTCCAAAGTTATCATCTCTTGGGCAAGAAAAAACAGACATATTCCCTGGACTCTCAAGAATGCTTTCAAGGAAATAGAAAGGGACGCAAAAGAGCTGAATGCTGAATTCAAGTGGGTTTAGAAGAAGCGCAAATGGGCTAGCTGCCTCCCTTGCTGAACAAGGGGTAGATAGGCAGCATCTGTTTTGGGCATCTTTATAACATAGTGTTGGCTAATGGGCCATTGTTGTTGTCATTAATTAAGCTTGTAATATTTTTCTCACTTGTTTTAATTTAATACATTATAAGTTTCAATGGTCAAACACACACACACACAATATGGTCATCATTTGAACTGGTCCATCTCATGTTCAGGTTCTCTGAATTGCTCCTCCTAAACTTTTGTTTTTAACCCCTTTTGGAATCAAATGTGTTAAATTTAGTTCTGTTCTCATCAAAAATTCTGAGTAGTTTTTTTTCTTTGTTCGTTTTTGTTAAAATAACAGCTTAGCATATATTATATATTCTAATAAGTTTATGTAGACACCCCATTTTGACCCTCCCTTTGACCATTCCAGGTATTGCCCCTTGGGAACATTGTGGTCATTTTCCTATCAACCACTCCAATTTGAGCAATTCAAGCAATTTGGCTAAAAGAACAAGTACCCCCCCCCCCCCAAATTGGTCGATTTAACAATTTTTCTGATTTTTTATTTTTTTTTTTAATTTGGGACAACCATGCAGCATCAATGCCTAGCTTGTTAGAATAACAGTTTAGCATATATTCTAATAAGTTTATGTAGACACCCTTTGACCATTCCAGGTATTGCCCCTTGGGAGCATTGTGGTCATTTTCCTATCAACCACTCCAATTTGAGCAATTCAAGCAATTTGGCCAAAAGAACAAGTACCCCCCCCCAAATTGGTCAATTTAACAATTTTTCTGATTTTTTTTTTTAATTTGGGACAACCATGCAGCATCAATGCCTAGCTGCACAGCTTCAAGCACCATCTGAATGGCACTTGGGTGAACCTAGGTGTGTGACTTCCGCCATGCATTACTCTTCTCCCTTTTACCATGTTCCCCAACCATTATTGTGCTGGAAAATTCAAATTTTAGCTCAAAACAATGTGTGGAGCACTCTAGAATGGTCCCAAGCCAGTTACTAATAGAGCTGCTCATGGTTCCAGACCGAAACCATACTGAATTAATCGGTTAATTGGTTCGATTTTTGTTCAGTTCAATTCTTTGGTTTGCTGGTTTTCCATATTTGTAATATATATAAATAATTGTATAAATATAATATATATATATATATGTTAACCAAAAACCAAACCGATCAGTTCGGTTAACCAGATTTTTCAGTTTTTGTTGAGGACCCCTAGTTACTAATACATTAAACACCCAAAAATTCAAATTTTTGGAGCTCAAATTTGGTATTTTCAATTGAAACACACATGGGGTTTGAATCTTGCTTGAATCTTGACCTAGAACAATCTAGGTTCAAAATTAAACTCAATTAGAATGTTTTAGGCCTCCCTGCTCTATAAATAGGGGGCTTAGGGCCTTGATTTAGCTAAAGGAAAATGAGAGGAAGCATAAAGATCTCTAAATAGTGAGCAGCAGTCTACTCAAGCAGGGGATTTGGAGAAACAATTCCTCCAAGTGTGGCAAGTTCCGGCAAGGGCAGCTTTGTTCAACCAAGAGTCTTCATAGAAGAGAAGCTGTAGTTCGAATTTGAAGGCTATTGAAGTTCTATAAAGATCAGGGGAAGCTTCCGGAGGTGCCCACTTCACCATTTTGCTGAGATGGAAGTGAGTGAGTTCCTTTATAGACATATTCTCCCTACTCTCTCTTCCCTCTTTTTCCTAAATTTTCGTATGCAAAATTAGCTGGAACTCCCATGGCCCCACTCGGTGGCACTCCCACCACCTAGTTTGGATCCCCACAGTTATAACCTTGACATTCAAATATATTATACAATGTGCAGGGGAGATCATTGATGAACGTAGCTGGATGAGGAAGACTGCTCATACCACTATGCCATACAGGTAATGTTAGCAGGTGTATGAATTGCAACAAGCATGTTTCTTTGCAAAACATGACATTTTTTTCATGAATATTTGGAAGAGGTATCTACTTTTATTTTTTTATTTTTTGTGAAATAAGGAAAAAAAAAATACAGATTTGATGTTTTGGGTTGTGGGCACAAGTGATCTGCTGATTGGGGATGTTTCCATTTTATTCAAATCATATTTTGGAATAAAAGGAAACTGAAAGAATGAAGATATTTTTCTGACAAGTAACAGAAACTTTATATATGAACTATAATGTACACCAGATTTTTTTTTTAGGATGGAAGAACACCACTTAACCCCCTACATAAGCAAAGCTTGGCATTCCCCAAATATAGGTCAGATTACCTCCCTCTCCCATAATTATCAATATTTACAGTGTATCCCAAAAGATACACTCCCTGCTCACCAATTATTTAGCCAAAGCATCAGCAATTGCATTTACTAATCTTGGCACCCAACTAAAATTTACAACCGAGTCCCTTCCTGCCAATTTCTCCTTGGTTTCTTGTCTATACTGCCATATTGTTTTGCAGTTGTTATTACCCAACTAGCTGATCACCACCGTAGAGTCTTGTTCAATGATAACATCTTTCAGGTTTGTATGTTTTACCAGTATTGGCCCTTATAGAACTGCTAACAACTACACTCTTTATAAAGTTCCCATTACCAATAGGACCTGAAAACAGCACTTGATCGAGCCATTCACACCTCTAAATATCCCACTCACCCTGGATGGGCCAGGATTTCCAAAGGCTGCCTCCTTTGAATTTTAATTTTATAAGTTCACTTTTGAGGTGGTCCCCACTGTCTTTGATACAATTTCCCTTTGGACGAGGAGATAGCTATCAAACTCCAATCTCTATGAATGGCATTCTCTGTAAAAGGGCTACAGATAGTTTTTCAACCGACGCACCACTTTGACTTGGATGTTTTCTCTAGAATGAAAGAGGAAGAAGAGAAGAGAGAAACAGCAGAATAAAAGAGAATATTTGCCAAAAAGGCATAAGCCTCCTTAAGAGGGGGATGAGAAGGAGGAAAATGAGGAAGGAAGATCTAATTTTTTTTTATTTTTAATAAAAATCTTTTATATTAAGAAGAATGAAGATGTATAACACTAGCTGAAGAGGAAGGAGGATAACACTTTTCTTTCCCCTTATCTTTCCTTCCCTTTCCTTCCCTTTCCTTTTCTTTTCTTTCTTTTTTTTTTTTTGTCTTTTTGTATAAGTTGTGCTTGAGGTGCACGAGGCATGTGCCTCTAGCATGCCTCATGAAAAAGGAATATGAAGCGTATGCCTCTTGCACTTGAGGCGAACGCCTAAGAGGTATAATGCCGCTGGCATACACCTCAGCGCATTTTGGGGGCACCTCCAGGCGTATGCCTCCCAGGCTCCCACACCTTCTAAAACATTGGTCAATACATGCACAAACCAAGGATATCACATATGCAAGTCATGAATAGGAGGGATCCTTTCTTATTTAAAGGGTTGTCTAGGCAAGGGGGTGTTGTATTCTAATCACAAGCATTTAAATGTTGAGGCATATATCGATGCAGCTTGGACTAGTTTTATTGATGATAGACGTTCACTTCTGGATATTGTATTCTTCTTGGAGGTAGACTCTACAATGAGGCTATATTGTGACAATCAAGCAGCTATAAACACTACACACGATCCAATCTAATATCATCACACAAAGTACATCAAGATTGACAGACACTTTATTAGAGACAGAATTTCCAGTCGGGAGATCTGCGTGCTATGTGTGAAGTCAGATGAGCAACTTGTTGATTGCCTTACTAAAAGTGTAAAGTAGGGTGGGCATGATAGATATTTAGGCTCAGCTTTAAGGGTTAGTGTTGAGTGTGTGAGGACAATTATGTAATTTTGAATCATTGTATTATGCAGAAATCTTAAGGGCATATTTGTAATTGTCATTCCATAATATAAATATAATTCATCTTGGGTCCGAGGAGAATAACTCAACCCATGCAACTTTATTTCCTTTTTTTCCCTTTTCTCTCTTCTCTTCTCATCTTTTTCTTCTTCTCAAACCTATACCTTCATAGACAACTAGTAACACAATCATATTTATACACAAAATTATGGCTAATACAGGGTATCATAAAATTCATTTCAGAGACAGTAAAAGTATAGAAATTTTGCTTCATCACAGTTCAACTATGATCTTCAGCTCCATTTGGCATGCTACCAAGCTTAGGTGCAACCAACAAAGACAAGGCAACTAGAGATTTTTGAAAGCAAAATATCAATGCTTTAAGTAGAAATAAGCAGGAACCAATTGAATACTCAAATGTATATGTATATTAATGTGCATGCATATGTTTAATTGAGTCAAAGCTAAGAAATTCTTAATTCTACTTAACTCTCTTACATTTTCTTTATCAATGATGTCCTTTGGCACATAAGGAAGTAATTATTTTTGAAAAGAAAGTAGAAAAATAAAATTTTAGTTATTATTGCCATACCATTCCTTTGGGCCTCCCTTCGCTGGAATCTGTAAAAATCAAGCCCAACTTCCTTGCTTTTCTTTTTTGCCATTTTGTCAACAACAGCAGCCTGAGCAACAGAACCTACGGTAATTCCACTTTCAGAATCAATTGTCTTCTTCCGACCTTTATGATGTACCACAACTGTCCATCCTCCTTCTGCAGCACGGGCTTCTCTCTCTTTTCTTGCCTGCATCATTCAAAATGAATCAAATGCCTTGGCATGGTATTCAGAATTATATAACCTGCATACTACCTGGAAAGACAAGAACACAAAGGGCATCTACATAGGAAACCATTGACAACATGCAAACAAGATTGAAAACTTGTAAATACAAACACAAAACTAATATCTGAACACAGAAGACTTATTTCAAGTTTGTAGGCCTTCATAAAATCAAAACATGTTTATGTACCAAAAACATCAATAGTACATATATACAGAGAAGCAGAAGCAATGGTTAATCAATCAATTTTTATGGTTCCTGAGAAAATATGTGAGAAGATAATGGGGTAATCTTGTTTCACATCCTCCAATTCCCACACGCCATCCAGTTGGCTGTGTTTGGTTTGAAAGTGGTTATTTTCCATGCATCCGATTTATCAATAAATCTTCCAAGCACCACATTCAAGAAACTGATTTCACGGATGCCTCTAAGAGGAACCCCTCCCCCCCCCC